AGCAAAGATCCGCCGAGTGAACACTGGGCAACGCTTTTAAAGCACTGGAGAGAATGCTTCCCGTTGAAAGTCCGTAACCCAATAATAAGAGAAGAGGTGCTGAGGCAGCCCTTGTTCGGTAATCCCCTACTGAAGGACGAGAACGGCAAACAATGGACGTTAGACACAAAAGGCAAACACTGGAGAAAGTGGGTGAGCAAAGGAATCTGGAAGATAGACCACCTGTGGGTCTCAGAGGAAGGCAGATGGACCACAGCCCAAGAACTAAGACACAAGCTCAAGGGAATTCACAACATCGAGGAGCAGCTGGAAAGAATCCTAGAGAGCATACCTTTAAAATGGGTGTTGCTATTAAAAAACGAAAGCAAATGGACGGCGGGAGAATGGGCAACAAAGATAGGCAGAGGAATATCAACCGAAGCCTTCAGATTAATCAGAATATTAGACCCACAAACGGGGAAAGCAGAATTTATCTCTTATGAAATAAAGGAACCAACCAACTCCTGGTCCAAACTGGGCACAGTAAAGGAAGCCAGATCCGAAGGGCAACTAATCCACCACAGAAAGGTCAGAGCCTGCACACTAAAAGGAGGACAGAGGGACAACCTAGCTGTACCTCCTAGCCCAAGCAAAATAAGATTATACAGACCAGACCTGGACATAAAAGAGATGGAGGTGGATCCAGCAGAATGGGGATGGCTGGTACCCAATAAGTCAGGGATTACCAGAAAATTAGTACCACTCTACGAGTACGAAGTCAAAATAGGATATAGACTAAGCAATAAAACAGCAGACCCACTACCAGTAATCTCAGAAAGGTGGAAAAGGAACTTGGAAGATAGCGAGGGCTGGTCAAATCCAGTACCGTGGGGGCAATATATGAACATACGCCCAGCAAGGATCAGAAGCCTTCAATGGCTCATAATTTACTGGGCTCTCCCAATCAACCAATGGTTAGCGAACAGGAGAAAGCAGGAAGAACCCATGCAACTGAGTGCTCAGTGCAAAGTATGCAGCGAGGGAGTGGAGGAATCACTGATACACTGCCTGATATCATGCCAAAGAGCGCAAAACACATGGGCGGAAATAAAGAGGTGGTGGTCCAAGCTAACAGGAGGAGAGTTCCCGTCCAACCCGCTGTACCTCCTGTCGGGAAGGCTGGAGAACGAGGCTGCGGAGGTAGGCTCAGAAGCAATAGCGGAGCTTTGGAGGAGAGCAACCCTATGGGAGATATGGAAGGCAAGGTGCAAAACCACACTAGAAGGTCAAGTCACAAGTTTGGAGGAGGTAAAGGAGGGAATCAAATCCACAATTCAAACAGAATTACGTGCCCGGTGGAGGAAGGACCTAAAGGAGCAGCAAAAGTTATCGCTCCCAGAAAAAAGGGAATCAAGGAGATCTACCTTCACTAAAACATGGCTCCTGGGAGGCAGAATGGCCAAGCTGGAGGGCGACAATCTAAGGTTCACAAACTGGGACGAAGCCATGATGCCCCTACCACTGTAAACACGGAACGGCTCCCAAACACCCTACTCTTTCCAAGTGGAAATAATCAGCAACAAGAGAGGCTTGACATAACCTCCCCCAACGAACATACAGAGAGTCAATTATCCAAAGACCAAGAAGCCAGCTAGTCTTAAGCTGTACACACTGGAAAAGCCCCTAACACAGTATTCCACCAGGTGCTGGTGCAAAAAACGCGGCTAACTCCCCCCTCCCCACTTCTCCGATCATCCACGTCTTAACCCCTTCCCCAGAGCACCTCTTCCTTCAATCCTATCCGACTAACACCCCCATTCAAAGACTGGAATAACGGGATCCCTCCAACCCTGAAAGACGGAAACGGAGATCATATCAAGAAGGAGACAGGAGACGACGCGAATGAAGGCCTGTTCAGGCATGATAGACACCAGGGGTGCCCAATGAGTAAGAGATCGCCCCCTACATGAAAGTTGAGACTCAGTGGACGACTGCAGAATGAGAGGAAGAAAGGGGCACTACACAAGAACAACGGCCATCGGAAAAGCCAGAGGGACGCCCAGATGGGGCTTCAGAGCGAGAAACAAGTTGCAGCACTTGAAGAGGAGCAGAACCCAAAGATGGAGGGAAGGCCAGAGAGAACAGAGGGTACCCAACTTTTAAGGATGGGTAAAGTCCTAAGGTTTAGAGGTTAGGGTCTAGGGTTTAGGGTTTAGGGCGGAAGTTCGGACCAGAAATAAGACAAGGAGGAGAGCGAAGACTGGGGA